AACCCCAGGCCTGCCGGCACAGCCAGGTTTTGACGGCTTTCCGGAAGGCCTGGAGAGAGGTGAGGGTCCGGATCTCCGCGGGAAGTTCATTCCAAAGTTGCCACGTTCAGCCTTTGAAGATGCTTTTGACCTGGATGTTTGAATTTTCCTTTACGCAGAGCAGTTAGAGAAAGATGGCAGGAATATGCAGAAGAGCTTTGCACGAACAAGGACAAGCCATAAGAGGAGAAGCTGACCTACCAGAAATGGAACCAGATATTCTGGAGGAGGAGGAGGAAGAGGCAGTGGGCACTCAACTGGTTGCCTAACCCCAAAGTCCCAGCCATTCCTGCAGAGTTGCTGAGGCCAGTGCCGACAAAAGCACTGGACACGCTTGGCCAAAGTGTATGGAGGGCTGGTTAGTGGGCAAAAGGGCAGAGAAGGTTGGTATTTGTCCCAATACCAAAGAAAGATGATACAAAGACCACGATACGTGGTCTTCCAAGGCATTTTAAAGTGGCATCAACACTTCATGTGATCTTGATTCTAGCACTCTCTTCCTGCAGCCTACATTGGGGTTTGGGGGCTGCTTCTGCCCACGACTGGTTCATCCTTAAGTGATGGTGCACTAGGACTCCAAGATCCCCCTCGCAGTTAATGCTGTTGAGCCAGGAATCTTTTTTTTAGCAGGGCATCTGTCTGTCTTCCTGCATCCTGATGTATTTATTATTTACAGCGTGTTTGAAGATATTATTAAAGTTTAAGTGATTTGGACTGTGTGTCATTAGTTGAGAAATCAGTATTTCCAATAGAAGCAACTCACAGGATGCTCAAGGTGTAATTCATGCTTTATTCAACAATTCAGTTGGAGGTTAAAATAAAATGCCTCTGGATATGCCCTTATTTGATATTGGTATTAAGCCTTACATTTCAGTACTCTTGGTAGCATCTGCCCTGCTTAATCAAAGGGTTTATGCTTGATATCAGAAGGATACATTTGACATCTTTGCGCCAGGCAGAAGAGAAGAGCCTTCCTTCCTTCGTCTGTTCCTGTGAGGTCCGGTGTGGGAGGTGTGTCCCCTGTGGGGCAGAGGCAGGTGGAGGTCTTGGACCTAGAGATCAAAGCCACTTGGGTCCCCATTTAGCGCTGTAGTTCACTGCTTGCTGTGTCCCTAGGAGGTTGGTTGTGAAGTTAAAAAGGGTGGGGGGGATGGATGAAAGTTGCAGCTCCAGAGAGCAGAGTGAGCATTGGGGGACTCACTCTGCCTCAAAACTGTTTTTGTTTTAAGAACTATCTGCCCCCCCCCCCCCCAGTTGCTGAAGGTGGCCTCTTCTGCTGTTGTGAGGTGGGAGATGCACAAAAGGCATAAAACAGACTTCAAAGTAACGGTTCTTAGAAGCCCATTTCGGAAAAATCCCAGCCCATAGCCATCATCCAAAAGCTGCCTGCCTGCAATTGTTTGTCATTTTTTAACGTATACATGTTTTTTAAAAATAATAAAATCCTGAACAAAGAGAGACGGTACTTGGTACATTTTGCAGAGATGTTCCATTCAGTGCATTCCGGCTGTTTCATGCCTGCGCCCTTATCTCTCCTGTACAGGACTTCTTTGCCCAGTCCTACCATTATCATGGCTCCAAGAACGGCTCTTGTCCAACTACATTGAAGGATAATTCCAAGTCCAATCCCTTGTCTTCATTGGTTGACAATTGGGAAATAATAAGCGTACAAACTAATTGGGTGTTTGCTCAAAATTATCTGCATCGCTCTGGCCGAGAGGAAGATGCAGAGGCACAAAAAAGTTGAATATTCATATTTGGCTATCTCTCAAAGCCATCTTAAAAACATATTTGAATTGTGAAAGTAAAAAAAAAATGTTGGAAGTCAATCTCTTTGCATATCCATATATTGAATCTAGCTCACACATGGTCTAATAGACTTCACATTAATATATTCCTAAAAACATATCAACATATTTTGCTGTTTACCTCTATTTGTTTGATCAGCTTACATTTCCCCCTTTCCTTCAGGACTTGGAGATTAAATGCTTGACACTCTCTCCTCCGTGCAGGCTTAAATAGTGTCCATATTTGTTTGCTCCTGGGCTTTTGGGATGCGGCTTCCCTGAACTTTTCCAATGTGGAATAGCTCTGTTACATTGTCAAAGAGCTTGTCAGTTGCACGTAAAAATTGCAGTTTGTTAAACTTGGCAGTGCAGGCAGTCCTTGGATTAGAAACGACCAACTTAAAGACAATCTGATGTAAGATAGGAACAGACTGCCTACTGCTGAAAATGGCCGAGTCTGGAAGCTGCTCATTTTTAGTGTACAGCCTCTTTTCAGGGGTTCCTGAAACGGTGCAGCTTCATCGGCTGAGGGAAGGACAATGCTCCCCACCACTTCTAGTAATGGGCAGTCCGTTTGTAAGCCCATGTTTTGACTAAAACACCAATTTGGGTTAAAGACAGAGTTGGGGAATGGAACTACATTTTAATTCAGGGGTAAAAGTCTCTATTAGAGGTTACCAGAATTACATTTTAGTAGGATTTCAGTAGTGATAACACAAAAGCAGAGACTATAATAGGCTGTTTTGAAGTGACTGTTTCTGTCATGATGTTGTATTCCAGAATGGCAGAGCCACCAAACCTGAACTTGATCCTCTTTGGTTTCTTCCAGAGTCTAGCCCAGCTAGAGAATCTGTGCAAGCAACTCTATGAGACGACGGACACCACTACACGGCTCCAGGCAGAGAAAGCCCTGGTGGAATTTACTAATAGCCCGGATTGCTTGAACAAGTGCCAGCTTCTCCTTGAAAGAGGGAGTGTACGTAGACGAGGTCGCTTTTGAAGTGGCTGGATCCTCTTTTACAAGTTTAGGGATACATCTTGATGCACCTGATGTAGGAAAGCATTGGCAACTGGCAGGTGGCAGTTCTTCAAAATGTGGCTATGCTAAATACGTCTGTGGAGATTCCTGTATTGGGTCACCTGATCTAGGATTTAAAATATTCCATGAAAGATACTTTTATTATTTTATTTATTTATTACATTTATATGCCACCAATCTTCGGGTTCAAGATTAAATATTGGTACCCTGCCATCTTGCCAATATAAGAGCCTTCATTCAGCAGAATCACAGAATTTATCCATCCATATGAATGATTTGTTTTCTTTGTTTGTTTTGCAGTCGTCGTATTCCCAATTATTGGCAGCTACATGCCTTACAAAACTGGTGTCACGCACAAGCAACCCTTTGCCCTTGGAACAACGCATCGACATACGTAAGTACAGCAGAGCTGGATGGCTCAGCCCCAAAGTCCCACTTGCCTAGGATCATATTGGCTATTTGAGAAGTTTAAGAACATTTGCTGGGATACAAAGTGAACATTCATAGCATTTTCTCTTTTCAGTTACCTACAGTGTGAGAAAAGGTATGGATTTGCCTTGCGTGTCTTCCTTGTACCTGCGTGCTTCCCTGTTCCTTGGCAACACGTTAAAATTACAATTTGATAAGCTGAGAACTTTTTGTCATCTACTATACCATAAAGTGCCCTTTAAAACATCTCCAAAGTATGAAACACCTGTTTTGGCTGTTCTTGGAACATTGTGAGGGCATGTCAGGAGCTGAAGGAAATGCTTAGGCATCCCCCTCTCAAAAACCCCTTCCTCCCAGACCTGCCTCCAAGGCAGCTTCACTCTAGGTGGGCAAGAGCAGTCAACTTTTCAGAGGTCTCCCCAGGGACTTCTGCTGACCAGTAGCAGCGGCTCTGGGGTAGGAAATACAACTGTTCTCCTGTGCGCTGCTTGGGGAATCCAAGCATGGGTTAACTTTGTCCATTAGCCTAGAGACTGAGTATGTAAATGTTGACCACGCTCCTCTGACTGGATGGGTCAGTTTTTTTACTCAGTCCAACCTAAAGAGACGTATCTCAATTTTCTCTAGACTAATCGACAAAATTCTCATCTTCTTGGATTCAATGATCGCTAATAAGGTTACAGATTGACTCCTTGCTAACAGAAGGTAGAGGCGGCAGTTCGCTGTCAGCCCAAACCCTTTTCAGCGTTGGATTTATCAACTGGGATCGGAGGCTGTGAAGTCCACAGGCTCGTCGCACCTGGAAGCAGCAGCAGCACTCCCAAGAGTGGAGTCGGGTTGCCGTCCCCTTCATTTAATGGTTGCGCACATCCTGGGCTGGTTCGCCGCCCTGCGCTGTCTCACGCCGGGAGTGACCCGCCTATGCAGCGCGGTCTATTCCCAGGCTTTCCTTACCACCGCTGTTATCTATCTTTGGACGGAGCTGCAGCCGGTCTCGCCATGGTGCTTGCGAGCTTGCACGAGTCCCGGGCGTTTAATCAGTGGCTTGGCGATTTGAATTTTGCGCCTTCTGAAGTGGTCGCCATTTTGGATCGAGGCTCTGCCCGTGCACCAGAAACGGCTGGAGGAGGCGTGGCGTGTAATTTCCCGCCCAGGCAGCGGCACTGTTCCAAGGGCCCTCCTCTTTCCCTCACTTGCGGCTTGCTGGCTTAGTGAGGAGGTCATCTCAACACAGCTACTGTCTCACGTGGTGCCTTGTGCAGTGGTGCGAATTCGTGGCGCTTGCAATATTAAGTGAGGTTGAGCCCTTTCAAATCTTCCCTATTTTGCAATGGCTGATCAGTCCGTCTGCGAAGGTACTGTAGAGCCCGTGTGTGAGCCCCGTTCCCCCCGGTGAGGGAGGAACTAGCCCAAGGCCCAGCAGGGCTGTTACCAGGGCTTCCAGCAATAGGCCTTGGGCCTCATCCGCCGTTTGGGATGAGTCCCAAAACGCAAGGATAAGACCAAGGCAGCATCTAAAGCCTCTGGGGCACCTAGCAGCTCACCCCCGGTCCTGATTCCGCAACGAGCTTCCCCAGTACGCCCTACAGAACAGAGTTGGTCTCCTGATATACAATTGCCCCGGGCATCCATTTCTACGGAGAGGGTATTGGGCCCCCAATCTCCCCCAGTCCTATCGGAAGCTAGTGTGGCTTTGGCCTGCTCGCCCCTGCGTGCAGGGCCCTCTGCTACATTCACTCCTACTGCTGCAGGCCTCAGGCCGATGGAAAACCAGAATTTGGGCCTTCCTCCTGATCTTTACCAGATGATATCTGCGGCTATTTCTAGGGGTGTGGATGCGGAACTGCATCATAGAGCCCGGGTTCCTAGGGCCACTGGGGCCCAGACTGGTCCTGATCCCCAGGCAGTGCAGGGGGATTCATCTATTCCTCAGACAGACCCACCTTCGCCTCTGCCCTCAGTTTATAGTGAGGATTCAGCCTTAGTGGAGGAAGGTGAGGTTATAGACAGGGATTTTTCTGATGATGAAGGCTTGGCTCTGGATCAGCCTAATTCTTCTGGGTTATTTTGCCACACTTTATTTAAGTCCTTATTGTATAAGGCTAAGACCACCACCCACATGGGGGAGGCAGCCTCTAAGGATAGCATAGCAGTGGGCCTGGATGCAACTGAACACCTCTTTGCTGAGCAGGTGGTTTTGCAGGAGGTTATTCCCTCGCCCAAACTATTTCTAGATCTGATTCAAAAGCAGTGGGATCAACCGACTGCGGTTACCCCACCCAGCAATGGGGATAGGAAATTGTACACTTCCACTCCAGAATTGGAAGGTATTCTACAGTTTCCAACTGTAGATACTCCTATTGCTGCCCTCGCTTCCCCAGCTTTAATTCCATCAGAGATCTCTGAGGGCTTGAAGGCATAGGACCGAAAGGCCAAGACAGTCATTCATAAGACCCATCAGGCTGCGGCCTGGGCCCTACGCGCAGCTACTGCGGAATCCTTTAATAGGACCTCCTTGGTCTGGCTTAGAGAGTTGCAGGGTAGGCTTGCCCCCGAGGACCTGCGCCTTCACCAAGACATCACCAAATTGATGGCAGCATTGGAATTTTCTGCGAATGCCACTCTTAATGCAGCGAAATTTGCCTCTCGAGCCTTAGTTTCTAATGTGGCATCCCAGCGTTTGCTGTGGCTTCACCATTGGCAAGCTGACGTCAAGTCCAAGTGGCGCCTTGCGTCCACACCTTTCAAGGGTGGGGCCTTGTTCGGATCTGTCCTAGATCCCATCCTCATTGAGACCAGGGATAAGCATAAGGTTCTCCCTTCCACCAGTGGTCGCACCAACAGGAGACAGCAGCCTTACAATAGGCGCCAGTCCTTTCGGGCCGGGGATCAGGGTTCGCTGCCGCCCCCTATGTTCCCCACTATAACAGGCCCTTTACCCAGTCGCAGGACCGCGGCCAGGATCGCACAGGAGCCAGGGATAGGGGTCGCCAGCCATCCCAGGTGCAATCCCAGGCTAGAAGGCCATTTCGTGGAGCTGGCAACTGGTCCTTTCGGAGATACCGGTGACTCACGGGGGGAGGAACCCATTGGAGAGTGGCTCCTGGCCTTCGCTCATCAGTGGGCGGAGACCACGTCCAACGCCTGGGTCCTTCAGGTCGTGAGGCTGGGCCTCACTCTAGAATTTCTCTCCATTCCCCCAAGGCGGTTCATCAAGTACCCCGTACCCAGGTGCCCGACGAAAAGGTGTATCATAGACACCGAAATACAACACCTTATCACCATCAGGGCTATAGAGCAAGTGCCAATGGGTCAAGAGGGGCTAGGATTTTACTCCATCTTGTTCCTTGTGCCCAAGAGCTCGGGGGGGGATGGTGGGCCATCCTAGACTTGAAAAGGCTCAATCGGTACATCAAGTACCAAAAATTCAAAATGCAATCTCTCAAAAGCATATTGGCTTCCATCCTCCAATGCAACATGATGACATCAGTCGACATCAAGGAGGCGTACCTCCACGTGCCCATTCATCCGGCACATCGGAGGTTTCTACGCTTCCAGTTCAATGGCCACCACTTTCAGTACCGGGCCTTACCTTTCGGCCTGTCATCGGCCCCTCGAACATTTACCAAACTCCTGGCAGTCGTAGCGGCATCACTTCGCTTGGTTCCAATACGAGTGAATTGTTATTTGGACGACATCTTGGTTCTGTCTCCATCTCGGGTCCAGGCCCTACGGGATCTGCAGGCAACAATGGACTCACTGCAATGTCACGGGTTCGTCCTCAACCTCCCCAAGAGTCACCTGCAGCCGACCACATCACTGCTCCACCTGGGGACCATCATCAATTCAGTAACATGCAAAGTTTCCCTGTCTCCAGAGAGGCGACAGAGCATCCAGCACCTGGCGAATCAGGTTCTATCTCAGAGACTCTTGCCACTGGCAACGCTGTCCAAATTACTGGGGGAAATGATTTCCTGTATCAATGTTGTTCCCTGGGCCAGGTTCCATGTGCGCCCACTTCAATGGTTCCTGCTCCCCTTCCAGAGGGCACACACCCAAATCAAGGTTCGGCTCCCACCCAAACCTCTCAGATCTCTCCGGTGGTGTACGTCCTCCAAACTCCTCAAGGGATGTGCCTTCAAGGAACTGGACCGCATCCAAATTACAACGGATGCCAGCCTGTTTGGGTGGGGGGCCCATGCCCTGGACCGCGTCGCACAGGGCCGATGGTCGGGTCAGGAGCTGAGAAACAGCATCAATTGGCTGGAGCTCCGTGCCATCCGCCTAGCCCTCCAAGAGTTTCGGGACATAGTATCACACAACCACGTGTTGGTCTTGACCGACAACGTAGCCTCCAAGGCCCATGTCAACTGCCAAGGGGGCACCCACTCCAAGACCCTGATGCTGGAGGCGGAGAAGCTACATCACTGGGCGGAGAACAGACTGTTATCAATTCAGGCGGAGCACATCTCGGGCATTTCCAACACACAAGCGGACTGGCTGAGCAGAGCCACCGTGGATCAAGCGGAGTGGCAACTTCACCCCGACATCTTCCAGGAACT